TCAAAAAGACACAAGCACCCCAGTGTTCACAGCAGCACCATTTACAGTAGCCAAGACATGGAAGCAGCCCAAATGTCCATCAACAGATGACTGGAAAAAGAAGTTGTGGTGTATATATATACAATGGAATACTACTCAGCCATGAAAAAAAAATAATGCCACCTGGAGCAAAATGGATAGACCTAGAGATTATCATACTATGTGAAGTAAGCTAGACAGAGAAAGACAAATATCATATGATGTCACTTATATGTGGAATCTAAAAAAAGATACAAATTTTATTTATAAATCAAAAACAGACTCACAGACATAGAAAACAAACTATAGTTACCAAAGGGGAAAGAATGCAGAGGGATAAATTAGGGGTTGGGAATTAACAGACACATATTACTATGTATAAGATAGATAAACAACAAGGACCTACTGTATAGCACATGGAACTCTATTCAATTTCTTATAATAACATATAGTTGGAAAAGGACCTGAAAAGAAAATAAATATATATATATATGTATATGTATTTATGTATATGTAAAAATAATCACTTTGCTGTACACCTGAAACTAACATTGTAAATCAGCTACACTTCAATTAAAATTTTTTTAAATGTCTGTTTAATAAAAATAGGTCTCATTTATTAAAAAAAAAAAAAACCCTCCAAGAGCTCAGAAATTTGCCCAAACCAAAGAGACAGCTTGCAGCTCCAAAGAACAAGAGGAGTCTATGAGTCTGCCTCTGGGAGGGAGAATGGATTGGAAGAGATTGAGTGAAGATGATAGTGGAATCCAATCTAATTTGGGCATCAGGTTCTAAAGGCAGTGTAGTGGGCAAGGCGAAATTTGAGTATTGTTGAAGTTACTTTTGAAAACTCCTCTGGAAGGAGCCACACTGAAGGCAGACACATCATCTCTGTTACATCCACACAGGCATTCACCCTCCAGCTCTGAGTGAGGCAGCTCTGTTGAGGAAGCACCAGATTATGCAGTTGGCTTGTGCTCTAAGGTCCATGTTGGATAAAAATGTGTGTGCCCATGTGTCACTGAATTCATTGACTACCAGTCTCACTTGGTTGGAGAGGTCTTCTGTGGATGAGAGTCCCACAGGAACTGAGGCTGGAAAAGTCCCCTGGGTGGAAAATTCTGCTCACTCAGGGTAAATGCTAATGGAGAGGATTGGAACACTGAAGGGATTCCTGTCCACTATTTAAACAGATTTCTTATCTCTCTGTCTCTCACATGCATATGGTTAAATTCTCATCAGTTAAATGCTTGTATGATGCACATATACCTTTTTGGTGATTAACTGGCCAAGCAAAGGACAGAAGCTTCCCCTAGATCTGTATACTCTGTTTCTTGGTGGATTTAGTACTGGAAATAGAAATGTCCATTGGTGGAGATTTCTCTCTTCTAGTTGGATTACCTCTTCAGAAACAGGCTAGATGTGCTCTCAGAAAATCACATTCACTATAGCCTTGACACATGCAAGAATTTTGAAATCTTTGCTTCCTTACCACACATCAGTCTAATGCTGGAGGACTGAGAGGCATTTATTTGTCAGAAATCTGCTGGCTCTTGCAAAGTCTAAGATACCATCTGGCCCTGGGGAGTTGGTGGATAGCAAGGAACACACATTGCAAGCCCTTATAGGGCTTCCATTTGAATTTGGTCTTGCTCTTTCTCTTCCATTTGACCTCATCACATCTCCACTTATGACTCTGGAGAGTGGGCTCCTCTCCATGGAGCCTCTACCAAAGTGAGGAAACCCTACCTCCTGACCAGGTCCAGCACTTGCATTCAGTTTTAGACAGAGAGGCCTATGTTCTCAAATTCTTGCTACTCTCCCCTAGGTATAAGATTTTTATCAAATCTTCAAGTTCATATCCTGAAACTAGTCATTTGAGTCCACAGGAGAATTAGGAATTAGGTATAGAAAAAAATCCTGTTACCAAGTCCAAACTCTTTCTGTTTGCTGCACCACAGGCCAATTAAGTTGGGACATGAAGTGTTGAGGCAAAGAATAACAACTTTATTTGGAAAGCTAGCAGACTGAGAAGATGGAGGACTAATGTCCTGGAGAACTATCTTCCCCAAGTCAGAATTCAGGCTCCTTTAATACTAAAAAGGGGAGGGGGTGTGGTTGGTTGTTGTAAACTTCTTGCAGAATCCTTTGTTCTTGCAACTGTCCATGTAGGTAAGGTTACCGCGTTCTAGTAAATCTCCAAGACACACATTATTTTCTATTCTGCAACATTTTACCTTCATATGAATAGGAAAATGTTATACCCTTAAAGGTCAGAGCCCAGAGAATGGACTATCCTGGATATTTTAGGCTCTAGGCAACATTGTTTTACAAAAGGTGCAGAGCCAGCATGACTAAGCACAGGAAACAGAGCACAGGGTTAGAGCTAAAGGAACAGATGTAATATGGAGTCAGATTTGTTCTTTCGTATTCCAATCTGAAGATGAAGAAAGAGGCTTAAAAACTGGTACTCAACCTTGTCTTTTCTGTAGTCTATGACATTGTGTCTGAAGGGAATATAAGAATGTATTTCAAAGAGCCAGGGCCAGTTTTTTGTTGTTTTAGGTAATATGTTTTTCATTTATTGAAAGTATGGTTTTGGTTTTTGTTGTTGTTGTTGTTGTTTGTTTATTACTTTTCTTTTTTTTTTAAGTGATTTTTTGGGAGATAGGTAATTAGGTTTATTTGTTTATTATTTTTTTAAATGAGGTACTGGAGATTGAACCCAAGACCTTATGCATGCTAGGCACGTGCTCTACTGCTGACCTATACCCTCCCAGTCAAGGATGTTTTGTTATGAAACATTTGGAAACAAGATCTCTGCTATTCAAATGAAATTTTTACCTCTCATCATTCATTTCTTCCCTGGGTTCTTTATGTCTTGTAACATCGTGTCTCCAATAAAGCAAACAAAAAAACACTGATACCTAAAATAATGGAATAGAATTGAAATAGCTTACCTTTTCATTGCTGTTGTCTATCATAATTTCTGTTGAATTATAACAAGTATATGTGTTTGTTTGTAATGACTCTTAGCTTTAATGACCTTCTTTCCTGGGCTAACATATTTATTTAAAATTTCATAGCTTTGTTCCCAAGGCTGGTTTCATAATCTTCCCCAAACAATGACTTGTTGAGATGACAGGGAACTTCTTCAGTGGTAAAGAAGGTCCCCAGAGGTCTCAACAAATATTAGCCCTTAGAAATGAACACAAGCTTAAACATTCAATTTAATTGAACAAATATTTATTGAGTAAGTATTGTGTGTCAGGTACTGAATCACACTGCCCAGTGGAAAAAAATCTATTGTCAAAATAAAGAATTGTAAGGGAGGGAAGGGTTTACTACCTTCTGTGAACCTAGTGGCATGGGAAAGAAAGCTTTGTTGTTTCAGTATTATTTTGCAAGCAAAAGAAAAATATCTTTATTCCAAGATCCTAGGTAAGGACAAATGAGAAAAATAGGCTTCATACAAGCTTCTTGAATTTCATGCACTGTCCTTTGTCCTGAAAACAATTGACTGCAATCAGATATGGTTTGAACTTTTTAAAGGAAAGGAATTCAGACTTACCTTTTCTTTATTTAACCAAAAGCTGCCTTGACCTGATTATTAAATCTATGTGCTGATGCCCTAATGTAGCCACAAAGTTTTGGAACTCTATGTTGTTGTCTGTTTTGCACTAAAAGACTTATCATACACATTTGAAATATGTAAAATATTTTATGTCATTTAAACTATTAGGAATATAATTTTATATTGCAGAATATTTGTAAACAGGGTCTTATAATAAAATGCTCCCAGGAGGTAGTTCGTCTGGGCTCATCCTTCAGTAGGACAAATGGAAGAACTGACAAGGATGCTCAGGAGAGAGGTGGGAAGGCTGGAGGGAGAGGCTAGTTGATGGACCACCAAGAATATTTTGACAAACACTGGTTTTTTTAGACTACAGTGTTGTTTTGGGGAAATCAGTTTACCTTTTTTATAAATTTCATCATCTTCTTTAAATATATTTGAAAAATATTTTTCCATATAAACCCCCCATCCCAGTCTGTTTCTCTCTACTGGGATTTTTATAACATAACACCCTTAAATAGAGAACAGTTGCATATAATCCTATTTAAAATGGTTGCTAAGGGACTATTCAGAGGAGCTTAGAAATGAGTCAAGATCCCCCTTTAAGGAGGAAAGAAGAAAAAATAAGGAAATGGAAATTTATAGAAAGAATTCTGACATGTGGGTGTGTGTCGTGTGGTTCCTGGTATTCGGATGCAGTGATCATTTCCCGGTCTCTGAACTTCTGTCCTGAACCTTCTGTCTTGCTGGTTACCTGGATGCCTGAGGGCTCCCTGAGGGAACACAGGGTGACACAGTGGGGTGTTGGGAAAGAGGGGTGCTCCCTTCTCTGCAACTCAGGCATGGTAGGCAATAACTCAGTATGATCCCTGTCTCTATTGCTGGGGGAGGGCGGGGAGTAGGGTAGCTGACCACCTGTGTTCTTTAAGATCCAGTTTAGGAGACTTGGAGGCCTCTGTCTTACCTGTTTTAGGATGAATGCACCATTTATATGTATATAAACACATACATATCTGTACATATGTATGTATAATCACACACCCACATGTGTGTATTTCTCTTCATCTGTGAGAATGATTTTTCTATTACTTCATGGCTGAGTGTATAAGAACTCCAGGGCCACAGACCAGATTGAATATGCTTCTGCTATAAACATTGTATTCATTTATTTATTTATCACAGGTTTCAAATATTCAGGAGCTTATAAGAGGGAACTTTGAATGCCAGACATTTCTGCTTTTACGAACAGAAAGTTAAAAAGATCTCTTAGCCCACACAATATTTAAGAGTGGATATAAGGGCTTTTTAAAAATCAAAACCTGGGAGGGAAGTTATAGCTCAGGCCAGGGCGGGTCAGGGAGAAGGCAGCAGCTGGGGCTCCTTCGATGCCTCTCAAACTTCAGAAGGGACTTGGAGTCGAGTTCAGACTTGTGTCTCTAGGGCTGCGCTGTGGGGTCACAGACCAGTGCTTCCAGGTGGTCCCAGGCGCAAGGGTCTCCGGGGTCTTGTGGTCCGGGCTGTAGTGGGCCTGCAGCCCCGCCTTGCCAGCACTCTGGGGCGTGCTTAGAGCGCATGCTTAGAGTGCACAAGGTCCTGAGTTCAATCCTCAGTACTTCTGTTTAAAATAAACAAACAAGCAAACAAACAAACCTAACCCCCCACCCCCACCCCCCAAAAAAGCTAAAGACACACACACAAATCAAAACCTGGCCAGAGTTTAGAGCAAAAAACAGTGAAAAATGTCTAAGTGAAAAGATTAGGGTGAATTAGTTTTCAACATTCAAGGTGGATCTAAGGTGAGATTAAATAGGAACCTTTGCACAATAAAGGTATCAATTTATTTTTAGATGTTTCTATTTAAGGTAAGAGTGAAATAGACATGTTCATATACCAGCGCTGACATTTATAGATGATAAAATGTAGATTTCTCGCTCTCTAAAACTACCAAAATCGAGTGGGAAAGTGTTAAAGTCTCTGTCTCATTCTGTCAAACAGATGTGAGGTCTAGCCAAAGCACGGTAATTCACTGTCCGCTCTCTGGAGAGCATAACTCTTTAGGGAGAAATGGCCTCTGATTGCCAGCCTCTCAAATGTGAACAAGTCAAACACTAGGAGACATAAAACTTGCTCCAAATGTATGGCCTCTTTTCCTGGATTTAGGTTGTATGCAGGCCAGGGTCATCTTAAGTTGGCAATCTTTGTGTCTCCTGCAGCCCAGCCAGCATACCACTCAGCAAATAATTGCTGTCCTTGTGACTTTAAGTAGACAAGCATTTACACGACTTTGATTTAATCATGTTTGAGAAGCTTGATTTTTAGAAGGAAAATGCCAGTTGCAGAAATCTTGCTAAATGATGCATATAGATCCAAGGCTTTCTGTTCTCACATGAGTGGATTACTTGATGTTTTCCTACCACTCTGGACCCCGTCCACCTGTATATTGACAACTTTCTTCTTAACAAGATATCCCGGCTAGTGTTAAATATGTAGACTTTTTGTTCTCCTTTCCAGGTCTCATTCTTTTTATTTTTATTTTGACTTTTTATTCCTTACCAGTTTTGAGGATCTCTTTGTATTTCCAACGTGAGAGATATTCTGCCAAAGTTCAGCAGGTGTTCTGTGTGATTCGTTCTGTGTGTAGGTGTAGATATTGTTGTATTTGTGGGAGACGGTGAGCTAGGCATCCTACGACTCCGCTGTCTTGGCCAGGAGCCTTCAGGTCTCATTCTTCGTGTTTCCGCAATCCTGTCACATATGGTTTTCACCTTGGCCTCCACTTTTTGTCCAACTAATGGGCAAGCTGCTCCAGAAGAAACCAGTCTGGTGACATCTGAGGTCATCTGTCTTTCTTTAAACGACAGTTCTGAAAGTAAAAGGCCAGCATCACGGGATAGGGTTGCTGTGTGTAGGTGGGCCAAGCTATTTCCAGTGGTCCACATGCCATCTTTTCAAACATGTGTGTCTTTCTCACTCGAGAACACCCGCTGTCCTTTCTTCTAGTCCCTCACATCCCAGGACAGGTGACCTTGCTGAGGACAGTGGGGCTTCGGCAAGTCACTTAACCTCTCTGGGCCTCTGTGTCCTCTTCTCAGGACTGTTCAGGGGATTAAATGAGATATCTATGAAGCACTTTAAACAGTGCCAAGCACACAGTAAACATCAAATCATGTGATAAATAAAATAAATAAAAATGGACACGGGGTGTTTGGGGAATAAGGAATTCCCATTTCTGATGTAGAGGGTCTCGAAGTTCTGGGGTTGATTCTCAAAGAAGCTGGAATAAGCACCAAGAAGAGCTTTTTTTTTTTCAGTTGAGGTATAGTCATTTTACAATCTTGCATCAATTTCTGGTGTACAGCATAGAATTTCAGTCATACATACACATACATATATTCCTTTTCATATTCTTTTTCATTACAGGTTACTACAAGATATTGAATATAGTCCCCTGTGTTATACAGCAGAAATTTGTTGCTTATCTATTTTATGTATCGTAGTTAGTAGGAAGAGCTTTTCAATTTGATTGGCCAGAGTTGTTTCCAGCAAAAGCCAATTGAAGTCACTACCACTCAGAAAGAAACCACTGGATTAGTGGTTGAGGGAGCACTTCTAAACGGTTTCCAAAGTTACACAACACTTCTCTAACAGACTCCCTAGCTAAATCCATTGTCCCACTCAGCAGTCATGAAATTTTACTTTTCCATGATTCCCTCTAAAAATTCGCTGTCCACTCTTCTTCCAGAGGATAATGACGCGCCTGAACCAGTTGGCATTTGTGTTGGTGAGAATTCACCCTATCTTTGAGGATTCTAAGCTGATTTTTAAATTAACTTTAGGAGATTATTATGGCTCTAGGTTTCTGAGTATAATGTTAATTCACTAATCTGGAAGTCATTCATTTCTAGCACAGTGAGGAACCAGGAATACATTTTGTAAATGTCTTGAGAATCCAAAAAGGATGTTACTCAAGTTAGCATATTGTGTCTCAAGGACTGTATTCAGAGGCAAACCCTCCATGCCTCACACTGAGCTTGTTAATTCTAACCTGTTTAGATAGTAATTAAATTAATTAATTTAATTAGTTACTTATTTCCAATCAAGAGGGGGAGGGGGACAACAGGAGGCAGACACATTTGTTTTTTCACGCTTTCAGTACTTATTTATGGAGCGCCCACAGTACAGGGAATATTCTGACTCAGTGACAACCGAAGTTTCTGCCCTCATGAAGCTGACCCTCTAGTGGCACAAATACAGTGTAGTGGAGTTGGCACCATTTATATTCCAGGAGTTGATCGAAGTGCTACTTACTGTGTGACCATGCCAAATATTTTACCCTCTCTGTACTTCAGTGTCTCCATATGTGAAATCAAAATAATAAAATGACTTACTTCATAGGGTCGTTCTGAAGGTGAAGTCAGTTGATGTATGTAAGAGCTTAACACAATGTTGCACACACAATAAGTGCTGTGTTAACATTTGCTACTATTGTTAAGTAGTCATATAAAGACATCCATGAGGGCGGGGTGAACAGGGTGAAAGAGGCCATTCAGCAGTGATACTGCAGAGATTTGGATAAGATATGATTATAGCTTGAACTAGAGTAGTGGTAAGGATGGATTGGTGAGTAGAGACTGAGTGCAAGATACATACCAAAAGTGGAGCTGAAAAGAGATTCTGTTAGATTTTATTGGGTGAGAGTAAAATAAAGAGTCAAAAATGGTTCCAGTTTTGTACCTGAGCATCCAAATGATGGAGGTCCCATTTACTGAGATGGCACGTATTTGGGGAAGAGGTTTCATTGGACCAAGAATCCAGTGTGTTAATGATACCTTTGAGATGCTGACTAGATATACAGTTGGAGATACTGAGTAGGTAGTTGAATATTCAATTTTGGAGTACAGGGTAATGTTGGGGCCAAGATATAAAGGTGGAGTGGCCAGATATTTTGGAAAGTCATGGAACTTGGATTTGATCACCAAGACCAAAGGGCTGAGGACTGAGCTGTGAGAGGGCTAATTTTTGATGTAGAGAAGAGGAAGCAGACACAAGAAAGGAAACAGAGGAGAGGTGACCAGTGGGATGGGGAGAAGACTAAGAAAGTGTGGAATTGTGAAAGTCAAGTGAAGACACGGTTTTAAGAAGGGGAAGAGTGAAAAAATCCTGCCATGTGCTTTTGAGAAACAGAACATGCTGAGAACTGAGAGAGTCTCACTGAATTAGACAACATGAAGATCACTGGTACCTTGTCAAGAGCAGGCACCTTGGAATAGTTAAGACAAAACCACAATTTGAGTAGATTCAAGAGAGAATGAGAAACTGCAGAGATGGATAACTCCTTTGAAGAGTTTTGATAAAAAAGGGGCGGAGAAAAGGGGTGTTGTTTGGAGAAAATGTGGGGTTGCATTTATCTTTTTAAAGGGAGACAGCATCACAAGTCTACGTGCTGTTGAGAATGGGCCATTCATCAAGAGTTCAAAAGAAAAAAATCCTTGATGGTGTAGAGGAGAGAGGGATCATTATCGCATCAAAGTCCTTGAATAGACAGGGAAGGATGCACGTGAGCAGAAAGGAGGAGGGCCAGCTGTAGAAACAGGAGGGACTGTTCCTGTCCTGTAACTGAGAAGAGGTACATTGAATGGGCACAGATCCCAGAGGCCGCAGATGTGAGTTACGGGAAAATGTGGAAAGTCTCTTTTCAGCACGTCTCTTCTCAGAAATACAATGAGCAGCGAGGGGCCGTGAGAAGGTAGGGGATGCCAGAGGAGAAGGGGAGAAGATGCAAAACAGTATCTTCAGAGAGTGGGCACATAGACTCACCAGAAAAATGGAGAGAGTCTCAGACAATACCTGTTTGAGGTTTGAGATCGTAAATTCAATTTGAATCCAATTCATGTGATGCGTGGTTTTCCTCCACATTTTACAGTTTGGATGGAAGTGGCTAAGAGTGGAGAGTTGGACTTAACCATGGTTAGAGTCTTGCCAAATGAGTCTGAACGCCTAATAAAAGGGCAATTGCACTGAGGGTGTATGTCACCCTGTGGTTGCAGTGAATCATAGTTCATGAGATCTAAGTGGATAAGAGGGTGGAGTCATGAATTCTGCAATGAGTTGTTCATGCTTCCGGGCTCAAGAATTATGAAGAGGGATTTCTAGAGTGAATGAGCAGAAGGAGATAAAGTGATATTGAGAGAGTAGAATGTTTGAAGTTGAGAACTGGTACTGGCCAGATCCAGCATGTGATGGTGGCAGTGGGTACCTGAGCTGTGGGACCCAGACCACTGGAGAAGTTGAGCCCCTGAGAGTCCAGCGGTTGGATGAATCATCTCCATTGTGCACTGAAATTACGAAGACTGGTGTCTTAGTCAGTTTGAGTTGCTAGAACAAACTACCAGAGGTTGGGTGGCTTATAAACAACAAAGCGAATTTCTCCCAGTGCTGGGGGCCAGAAGCCTGAGATCAGGGAGCCAGGGTGTTCAGGTTCTGGTAAGGGCCCCTTCCAGGTTTCAGATCACCACCTCTTCTTTGTATTCTCACAGGGTAGGAAGGGTGAGAGAGCCCCCGGGGGTCCCACTAATCCTATTCATGAGGGCTCTACCCAGGTACCTCCCAAGGTGCCACCTTGTAAGATAACCCCATTGTGGGTTAGGGTTTCAATGTAAGTATCCAAGGGGACACAAACGTTCAGTGAATTGCAGCTGGTGACAGGAGTAGTGGTGAGGAGAAGGACAGTATGTTACTGCAAAAATCTTCAGTGATCACGGCTTTGTTTCCAGAAAGTTCCAGAGGAGATTGGCAGTTATATAGGTTCATGGCATGTGCTTTGACTTTTTAGGGACTTCTCTAAGGAGGAGAGAAAGTTAGTTACCTGTAATACTCAGCCACTTTGGAAGATCAAAACGTTAGGCTGTTCACTAGAAATTGACACAACATTGTAAACTCACCACACTTCAATAAAAAAGAATGCACTTTTTTTTAAAGGTGCATCAATCATTTTAAGGAGTTTGAAGTCATTTTGTAAGTGAGATGAGACACTTGCATTAGTAATTTAAAAGTATTCCTGAAACATAAAGAAGGGTTAGCAGAAGAGTCACCTTTCAGTTGGGGAGGGATCTGGGGGAATTTTTTGGTAAGATGTGTCTTTCAGGTGGAACTTGAAGGCTGGAAAAGATTTGAACCCAGAGACAGGAAAGAGGAAACTTCACACACAGGGAGGAACAAGGAACAGAAGCAAAGGCATGGAAATAAGGGATCACGGGGGAGCAGCGCGTGGTCCATGGTGGCTTCCGGGATGCTTGAGGAGGATGGAGAAAAGGGAGTCAGAATGTGTGAATGGGCCCAGATGGGGATCTGTGCCAAACAAAGGCCTTTCACTCCACAGGCAGCAAGGAAGGGAGTGAGATGTGAAGGCACAAGAATGACGTGGTCAGATGTGGGCCTCAGAGAGAGAAATCATGCCGCCCACATCCAGAGAGAGGAGGAAGGCTCTGGGAGAGAGATGAGCGAATCGCACAGGCAGGGAGCGATTTATATTCATGATTCAACTTACGAAAACCCAGTATGGTTGGGATCATAGGAATAGTAGCATTGGAAAAGGATTGGTGGGGACAATTTAATAGAGTCTGGCAGAGATTCAGTCAATAAATGTTGGCAACTGATTGGACATACATAGTGTTGAGAAGCAGAGAGAGGACAGTCA